TATTCAAAATGCAAAATAGACCAATGGATTTTACTATAACCAAGTATGAGAATTTCATTGCTATGGTTTCAGATTCCACACTACAACTTATAGAAATTACCAATTGTTGAGTCTAATGTAGCATCAAAGAAGAATATCCAAAGTCTATTAAGTCTATTAAAATACTCCTCCCTTTTCCAACTGTGTATCTGTGTCAAGCTAAATCTTCATACACTTCAGTCAACACAATGTAATACAACAGAATGATGCAGAAGCACATATAAAAATCCAGCTGTCTTCTATTAAACTCAGAGAGACTATCAGAAAGGAAAACAATGTCACTATTCTCACTAAATTATCATAGTTTTAGAAAACAGGGCTAGTTTTCATAAAAACATATTATTTATGTTAACTTGCCAGTTATTTATTTTAAAATTAACTAATGAACAAAGGTTTTAAATGTCTTACCTTTTATTAACATGGTAAATACCAACAGATATAACTCACGGAACAAAATTTCTCTTAAGTTGTCTCACTCATTTTGAAGAGTGTAAGTGGGTTCAAAGATCAAAATGTTTGAGATTTGCTGCTTTAGGTTACACAATCTTAACTACTGATGATGGCCTGAATGAAACTCCTGTGAACTAAAGCTTTGGAGGTGATCATTTAAACTGGCCCTTGCCTGAGGGGGCACAGTCCTTGATTAACTCCCTGTGGTCCCTACACCAGCTAGTTTGCTCCTCTTTGCAGCCAGATTTGTCAGCATGTCCTGTGACTGGTGTGGTGGTGATTATCCAAATGATGTGAACACAGAATTCACATTGTCTTTCACCTCAGTTCCCTACTAAAGAAAATCGTCAGTGTAGTCAACTTAATTTTCTTGGATTAAAACTATGCAAAATATTTATAAATTTGTATTGTTGACATTTCTTTAATTAAAACTTCAACAAATATTTTACTATTCTTTCCAAATTGGAAGCACCATGATGTATCTAACATGTATGTATGTATGTGTGCAAGGCACCGAATTAGGAACTCTGTAGTCAGTTTACCAAGGCATAGAATTAGGAAATCTGGAGGCAATTCCTTCATTCTCTCGCTAAGGAAAATGATTCCCACAGAGCTTAAATGCCTTGTCACATGACTTAATGCCTGTATTAAGCTAACATCTCCAGTTTGATAATAATTTCAAGTCCCAAACAAAAGAACCGAACTTATACAGAATTTATACTTTTTAAGTCTGCACTCTTGTCATTTGGAGGACATTTTTCACTTTATGTCTTTCTTCTTTATTTGTAGTTATTATATGAGCAACCTGGAATAAGAAACTGCTTTATCTACTTTAATCAAATAGAGTAGAACTTCAAATGTGTAAAGTCATTAAAAAACAGGGCATTCCAGACCGATACATTTTCTAGATGTATGAGATATATTTAGTGTTTAAAAACTGAACAATTTATTGGGAAGTAAAAACACTAATACAAGCTAAGTATTTAGAACCTCAAATTATGAATTCTAATCTAATCCCCTTACTTTATTACTGTGGCAAAAATGCCTCAGATCCAATTACATTTTCAGGTAGTAAAACTTCTATTTTAGCTCTTTGGGATGGTACCCTCTAAAAGGTATCACATGCTTTTCTGCATCCAGTCAGTCCACTAAAGATGATTTAAACATTTTAAATGGCTTGGGATCCTTCTTATTAGTGTCCATTATTTTACACAAATACAATAGGGGAATTAGGACACACTGAGAATACAGTTTTTTACGCCTTCATTTAATGACCCTGGTATTCTGAATCTTGTTTTTTTAAATATTTGCATGTGTTTTTAAATTTTGGCTTTTACCCCTTGCTTTGGCATTGTATTAACTGTTACATCTTCCTTTATACAGGGCACATGTTTGTCTCTCCATTTTAAATTTTCTGTAGACCAGATAAAAAGCTTACTAGAATTGTATAAAAATGAGCAAATAGATTGAGAAAGGGTCTGAGATACTTAGAGTGATGTACAGCAGTTTTACTGAACTTCACATTTTACTGTAGTTTGACCATTCAAAAGACTGTTGCACTTACTGGATCTTTAGATAACTAAATTCTTATCAGGTGAGGTACTGCAGCATAATAATTATTTGGTTAACAGTCACATGTGCAGTTAATAATAACTGAAGATTGGAGAAACTCAAATCATTCTTGTTCTGCTCTCTTTTCTGAATAATCCTGGTCATACTGATTATTTTATCTAAATTTTTAGACTTTACACATGCTTTTGCTGAATTCTTTTAAAACTCTTTTTTTTCATATTCTGTGTAAATGTTTATGAAAAGAATCTGCCTATAGTTCAAAAGCCTTTGTGCAATCTTTCACTGTTTGATCCAACAGCAGAGCGGGCATGTCCTACATAGGCTGCGGTCCATCAGTGTTTTTCTGAAAGAGCTAGGGTGTTTACATTCTTAGGACGGAAAGAAGAGCAGAGAATACCATTCCATATTTGTACTTGTTGGTTTTCTAGCATCATGGTGGCTGCTGTACAGCGCTCACAGCAGTTATACTGCAGCCTCATCTCTGCCTGTGGAATCACGCTGGTATGCAGATTCTTAAGTATGCGGCCCCATGGATTAGGGCCCTCACTAGGGTCAAAGGCAGTTATTTACTCTGGGAAGCTTTCCAAGATTGCTACCAAGAATGCTTTTTACTTTTATGGTGACTTGGTCCCTAAGGGTAAAACAGTCATCCAAAAGGAAAACTTTTTCCCCATTATCTGAACATTTATTAGTGACCAGGGCAGAAAAGTTCATAGTCTTCAAAACAAAACTCAGCCTGAGAACAGGCTAGTGAGCTTGAATTGAGGTATTGAGTATATAGGGACCTAAAAATCCTACTTTTTACTTTGCCTTTGCATGTCACCTGATCTGAATACACAATTTAAGGTTTATTTTCACTATGTAGGCAAACATTTTATATTTTGTGTAAGTGAATCCTTTATTCAGTTCTGTATACACCTGTCAAGGCTCTAATGGAGAAAAGCTTCATTAAAAAGGAAACATCTACTCTCGTTTTAGAACACTGGTCTAAGACAACAGTGCATGTTGATGATCACCTCACTTTTTTTCTTTTAAGTTCTTCACAAGGCATGTATTTCTCTCGAGTATGTCCTTACAATGGCTTTTCTGAAATTCCTTTGTTGCACTCACATTTTAATTCCTCCTCTACCCTTCTTCCCTTATTTTTAGCAGATGGTCACCTCGCACAGTTCATCCGGGATAAGGTCCTGCATTGCCTGTCTTGTCTGTCTTGAAATACCAGAATCTGCATCCATCTTTTTCTCTTTTCTGTATTGAGAAGGCATTGCCCCTTTTCTTCTAACGTATGTTTGTCCTTACTTCTATTATTCTGTATCAGTTCAGAACTCACTTGCAGAAAATAGAAACCTCTCCAGTGTTTTTAATCAGAAAGGAGTTTAATAAGTACTTATATAATTGTTGAAAGGTGGAAAGGCAGGCCTTAGGCAGGGCCCCCAGGGAATGACCTGAAACAACACTGCAGAACTGGCTACTCATGGGACTGGCAACAGTTGCCACAACCAGGAAGCGGGGGAGTCAGGAAGCCACTGGACCAAGTGTGGTGTCTAGGGTGGCACACCTTAGTCATGATCTGGGATTAAGAAGATGCCAGTATACCTGCTGTATCCAGAGTAAATTCATCTCCCAGAACTGCACCAGCAAAATGGATGCCCCACAGCCTAACGCCTCTCTCCACTTTACTCAATCCCAAATACAAATTTCTTGCAGCTAAACCTGCTGTGTTGGAACTATATCTCACCCAGATCCCTTACTGAAGGAGAGTCTGGGAAATGTTACTGTATTTCTTCAGACTCTGCAACATGCAGGGCACATGCAAGGGTGCTCGGCACGCAACAGCGCCAGTCCATCCACGCTTCTTCTCCACTGACTTCCGATTCACTCAATTATTAGATGTCTTATTTACTTACCACATATTCTAGATACTTTCTCAAGTCTCTTTTTCTGTTTTACTGTTTGCATTTCCACACTAAATTCCAGGATCCTTTTTGCTTCCCACAATAAAGATTTCCTTGGGTTATTATTGTTTTTATCCCATTGTTTTCTGGTTCATGTTCTCTTCTGCTTTGTCATCTTGAAACTGTTACATTGCTATTTGCTATTATTTCCAGAACTATTGTTAACACTGTAAACATGAATTCAATGGGAATTCACTTTAGTATTAAGAAACTCTCCTGGCCGAGGACTAAGGTTGGGGTTCAGAATCTGCAGGGCAAACCCTTCAATAGTAGGATTATTTACTTTCCTAAAACTCCAGCTACCATCATCATCGCTCTTGCTTGGTGATGGGCCTTCCAATGACCATTGTGCCCTTCCAGTGGGCCTTCCAATGACCACTGTGACCATTTCTCTGGTCCGCTGAAGGACACAGACAGACGTACGCAGAGCTTGAGCATAAGAGCCAGCTGGGGTGAGGGAATGCGTATTCAATCCTGTCACTGGGGTCTGAGGGAAGATGTGCCAAAGGCCTGAAGTGGAAAAGTGAGGAAGGGCTGGTGCTTCATAAAAAGCTGCTAGGTCATCGACTACTTTCCAATTTCCATCAAAATGCCTTAATCTCTAAAACTTCTTGTCTGAGATGATCTCTCACCCTCTCTTACTTACCTCTAGGTCTTTGAGACTTCATTTTATGGATTGAGAATAGCCCCACATGAGATAGGCTGGGTATATGCTAATTTTCTCTTTCTTATTCAAATATTTTAATGACATGGTAGTGGAATTTAAAGAGGAGATTGTCTTGGTTCTACCACTTACTATGATGTCTTTTATGAAGACTTGTCAGTGAGTTTATACATGAAAATGCAGCCCATGAGACGAGATTTAGTTTCATCAACAGCATGCTGACCCTGTTGGTGAGCCATATATATATACACAACAGAAATAGTGGAAGTACAAGGTTCTGTGAGAACTCAGATCTGATACCTGCTTTCTAGTCAGTCCTGGAAGAGAGTTGGAAATAAAGTGATAATAAGAAAATAGAAAAAGGAGCTTTTTTCATTTTGCCGGGAATTATTTATTCACAAAATGAAATTAGCATAGCTGAAACGCTTCTCAGGTTTATTCTATGAAATGAAAATAATATTGTTAAATTTCCCAGAGAAAGCTTTAACTCCATTTTCCTGTGGTTGCAATAAAATAATCTTTCCTGGCATGAATCAAGAAGCAATAAGCAATAGAACATAAGATTTGGTAAATATTTACATTACCAATACCTCTTAGTTATGTAGTCTGATTAAATTGAGAGACACTGAAAGGGAATATAGTATTTTATGGATAGGAATTTGCTCATCTGTTCAATGTATTAAGTGTGGTCTAAGGGAATGTTCTTAAAGAAAAGGAATTATATCACATGCTCACATAGGCATGCTGTGTCAAATCATGGCTTGTAAAGAAAATTTTACTACATAATTGGCCATAATTCAGCTAAATATTTTCTAATTTTTAAAGAATTCTTTATATATAACCCTTAAAATTACAAAAGAGGAAGAAAAAGGTAAACACAATAAAACAAAATGTCTTTTCCAACAACCATTCTGTGGACTTACTGGGCACATTTTTATCACCTCTGCCTAGTTCCTTCATTTCCTCCTGACCTTTCTCACCACCTATGCCAATTGTCACACCCCTCCTTTCTTTTCTTCTACGGTTCAGGGTAGAGAAGTTAGACCACTGACTAAGGAGGCAATGTGTGGAATGGTTAAAAACACAAGCTCTGGAATCAGAGTCTCTAGATTCAAACTCTGGTCCTACCTGTGACTTTAGGCAAAGTACCTAACTTTTCTGAGTCTCAGTTTTCTTATCATAAAATGAAGTCCAACTGAACGTATACAAGTGGAAGTACATTTATACTTCTAATTGAGGTTTTGTAGGGATCAATGGCATAAAGATATAAAGGACTTAGCAGAGTAGGTGCTCAATAAAAATAAGCCATAGTGTTTAAATATTTGGATTTTATTTCTCCTGGGAAAAATAATAAATAGGCTCATCCTCCAGCATCTTTCAGTTTTGAAATGTGAACTTACTGAGGAAAATATAGAAAAAAACATTATTTATCTTAGATTATGATGAGATAATGCCTAATATCTGGATAAAAACTGAAAATAAATCCAGATATTGTCAAACATCTTGTAGACAAAGTATTGATATTTTACAGCTCTTCTTTTTATTTGGCATGTTCCTTTCATGTGTCTGTATGTGGGTGGGAAGCACTCTTATTCACTAGTCCTTTCTTGAGCACCTCTGTAAGCTGTATGTGCATCACAAAGCTTAGCACATATTATTTCTAATCCTTATTAATGACCTAGAGAGATCAGATTCATTAGCTCTATTTAACACTTCACAAAACTAAAGCTCAGGGGCATAATGGAACTCATCTAAGTTCAGACAGCACTGGAGCCACACAATTGAAACCTAGATCTTCTTCCTTCAGAGATGAAATTCTTCTGTCATGTGTATTTTATGAGTCCAGGATTAATGACTTAAGGAGAAGACTGGTTAATAAGTTCACTGATAGGGATTCATCACTGTCAATACTAAAAAAATGATTTGTATGTCAAACTTCTTATTACTGGTAATGTATTTCATTTTCACAAATAAGAATATTTGCAGGACTTAGAATGTTTACTCACATACATAATAAAGCACAATTATATATAATTATACACTATATAAGGTAAGATTTTTTTGTACACTAAAAAATGTTTATCCATAATTACCTACGAACATAACAGCATTGTTGAAGTTGGTGGTTGCAAGGATATGTTTGTTCATAACAGACCCTGTCATACACTCTGTTTGCTTTAGTTAAAAGATGGAGAAAGAGTGGTCCTTCAGAAAAACATCTCTGGCAAGGAAAGTTATCACCATATTTAACATGGCTCTTGAGGGAAAAATATTTCCTGCTGTTCAGACAAATGTAAAAGATCAGAGGAACACAATAATAGCAGTTGATTCTGAATGTTAACCTCAGAATGTCTGCTCTGAAGGAACGCTGATGACTCCTGTCATGATGCCCTTGCTTATTTGGATACCATTAAAGGCCCCACTTGACAAGCATAATGATGAACTGTACTTTTCCTGTCAGGCAACACATGTTTGGATGATAGACAGCTCTGTAAAGCTGAGGATTTATTTATTTTCCAAGGACCAGTTTTTCAGCTTGCTCTACAAACCCATGAAGCTGCTTAAAACTCATACAACTATTGCTGACCAAGGGAAATCCATGCACTCCAGAGACAGGGCCTTCGCGGGTGTAGGAGATAATAATATATCTGTTTACTGACATAAAACCTCTTTAGTCCTCCAAAGAATGAATTTTCTGGCTGTATTCTGGTACATCTGACTTTTAGTCACTTCAAACTTCAATGTGTCCTTGCTTTGGCACTTAAGGGTACTATTTTGCTTTCAAGAATATCACTTAAAATGTAAAAGCACTTGAGGTTAAAAACTTTAAGCCTATGTCAGTCAACATATTAATTATTTAAGACCTTAGCAAGAATTAGCAGGCAGCTATTAGAGATACACTGAAATATGTTTCATGGCCAATCAGAAATGAGTCTGGCTATGAAACATTCTCCAAGAAATATTGCTTAACTGATTTTGAGCTCTCTGTACTCAGATTTTAATAGAGAGGGATCATTTTGGTAGAAAATATCTGGACTAGAACAGTACCTTAAAGTGTTCTTAAATTTGTGATTGTATGGTCATGTTACATGGTTCATTGAGAACTATTAAACTTACATTATAAAATGAAATCTAAACACATGACTATTACTTAGGAGTCCAGCAGGATATAGGTGACATGCTGAAAGGACTGATAAAGATAATATAATGCAGAGACTAAAGACAGGCTTAAATGAACAAACAATAATGAATCCAGAGATTAAGAGCAGGAAGCTATTACTATCCTTTGGCCTGGCCTGAAGAGGCAGGGAGATGGTATGTGTTATTGGAACATCACAAGAGTTAAGGCAGGTAGAGAGTCAAATAGGAGTTGTGATTCTCTACATGAAGCAAGAGAAGAACCATTGCCAAACCACGGCCTAGCAGATCCAGCAGGGAGAATATCTATGTGACCTCCTTGTCCCCTTGTTCTGATCTCTTACTGGGGTTTCCTTTTGAGTAAATCCAACCAGGAGCTAACATATAAGAAAATCTGACCCACGCAGAGAGATGGAGGCCAAACGCTGCAGGCCCAAGCTCTGGGGAGGGTGGGGAAAGCCTGGAAGTGCAGAGGGAGAAAAACCAGGACATCTGATCAGAATAATAATTATATCAGATACAAATCTCCAGGTACTCTTCATAAAAGAGCTGATAGGAATGCTCTGTCATTATTCTGCTCCTCTGATTCTTGCTTTTCCAGAGTCTGAAGGTTCTCTTCCAGGTTTTTATCAGTTCTTGTTCCATGTCATTCTGTGCTGAAATAAGATTTTAGCAATTTTTATAGCAGGGATGTTTTTATATTTTTGCAAAATAATTTCCTTTTTCTCTCTTTTTTACTAATGTTTGTTTAGCACCAAGACTTTAATAGTTGGTTTCAATCAAAGATTTCTCTCTTTATCATAATTCTTAGCAATCTTGGCTGCCTGATTTGCCCATTACGCTGCGATGGCTTTCATTAGTTCACTTACCTGAGTGGCTCTCTCCTTAAACTGATTGCCCTGCTCTTCCAACAGTCAGTGTCCCACCCACCTTGGGCAGTGCAAAATGTTTTTAAATTTTATTTTAATGTGAGAAGTCACATGGGGTCAAACTTCACAATGTGACATAATTATTGTTCATATATATTCAATTTTAACTTGTCTTTCCTCATTCTTCTCTAGTCTTTATTTCTTTTACTCTAGTTCTTTACCATAAATTTACTTTCTTTTTCTGTTTACTCATAATGCTATGAATGAAATGTTGACATGATAGTATGTAACATATTGTATGTATGAGAGGGATGGGAAGTGCTTAAGGCAGCAACAGGTTAACAATTGAATCAAAAAGCAGGGTTGATTTTGTAGTTTGTAGATCTATTTACCTCTCCTAAACAAACATTTCTGAAGATTGTGGCACAGTTTTTTAAACAAATTATATGACTCTAAAAATGTTCCCCCTTTTTCACTCCACTCAGATCCGAAGCCAGAGCAAAGCCTCCAGGTCTGGGCTCTGTGAGGGGGATGAAGTGGTTTCTATCAATGGCAACCCTTGTGCAGACCTCACCTACCCACAGGTCATCAAGCTCATGGAGAGCATAACAGACTCTCTCCAAATGTTCATCAAAAGGTACAAAACATTAGTTTGGAATGTGTATTTTCTTTTGAAGCTAGATGAGAACAATTATAGCTGCTACTACATATATAGTTTGTCATATATGAGGAAACTGGGGGTGCTCTGTACACGGTCAGTATAGTGAAACAGAAAAACCACAGTGTTTGAAAAGGGGCAATTATAATCAACTGAATTTTCCAGTTAGTTGAATATTAACTTGAAAATCTTTATTTCAAGAAGTTCACTGAAATTTTTACTTAGGCGTTTTATACTAGTTCCTTAGAAATCTCACTATGTTGAACATAATATAATACTTCTAGGTAAGGATGTATTTTGTGGTGGGTCAGGATCACTAAATTGTAATTCCCAGATTCACAGGTGAATTTAAAATGTTTAAGCATTAATAGCAATATGTAACTCTACAGTAATTTTGTCTAAAAAGAAAATGCCTAGGAGAAGGAAAATAACAATGACACACATAAAACTTAAGAGCAGCCGATTTCTGCTTGCCAGGATCACCAGTAAAATCAGTATTTCGGTATAGGCAAAAGTGGATGGTTAAAATAAAGCTTTTGGACTATCAATGTAAATCACTTATTAATTTGATTTGTCTAAATATCACCCATCCCACCTAACTGCTTAAAAATGCAGAAGTCAACTTTAAACATAAAAACAAATGAAACCAGTAGTGATTCTATAGCATCTTACTACGCTGATGGACAGTGACTATAATGGGGTATGTGGTGGGGACTTGATAATGGGAGGAGTCTAGTAACCATAATGTTGCTCATGTAATTGTACATTAATGATACCCTCCCCCCAAAAAAATTGAAACCAAGGAGGGCCATCATGAAAGATTATAGCATTACCAGTTTTAGTGTGCAAATCACAATACAGTTCATACTAACTTTGCAAGTGAGACCCTGACCATTGCATCTTAATGAATCCAAAAAGCAAAGTTCTGGCTACTTGGTGAAAAGCCTTCTGGAAGGTGTTGGGGAACGTCTCACAATCTCAAAGCCCTCCAGGTTTTGCCTTAACTCTGCAGAAATATTACATAAAGCATTACCCCTCTGATAACCATTCAGTGTGATTCCATTTTTGTACAAACATGAGCTCGTTATGGTCAAAATTTTGTGAAAATAAAAGAAACTTGGCATTATTCTTAGAATCTCCCATCTAAATATTTGCCAATTAAACCCAATGTTTAAGCCCTTAGAATCCTACTTATTTATAAGTTGCCACTTGCAGCTAAAAGGAACCTAACAGGACTCTTTCCAAGTGTAGTCACAATGTTTGCCATTATCATGCATAAATCTGAGGGATTTGAAGATTTCTATCTTTGTAAAGGATTAATGGCATCTAAAATGGAGAAAAACCTTTTCTAATTCATTCCCTTTTTAGTGACTTTACTGATTCAATGAGGCCAACTTCTTTGGTATACTTCTGTGGTTTGGGACATCCTCTACCATTGTTGTTTTGATTGTGATGGTTATCACTGGGAAAAACCTTGGTGATTTAAAGCTAAGTCTCAGGTACACATTTACTTTCAGAAATAAAAGGACTAGTTCTTTGCTACTTTTAATAACCGGAATCATGATTATTTTTCTTTTGTCTGAAGTAGGTTGACTTTTTTCAAACAAATAATTAATTGATGAGTTTCAAAAGAGAATCTAAAATTAAAAGCAGCCCAAGGCAATCAACATCAACATCATTCCTACTCTGGATGTCTGAGCACTGTTCACCGGAATTAAATATTTCTCCCCCTCACAGAACTGTTATTTATCATGAGAGGACAAGTGGTTTCCTTTTTCTGGACTATTGCCCAGATATAGCTGGGTAGGACTATCCTAAGACTCCTTTAACATTGTCTCCATTATCTTAAATTTTGTTAAAATGATATTTTAAAAGATTATACAATTATGACACATAAATTATGGGATTAGGTAGCTATGTAGGTGGACTAGAAATCAGAACTTTTAATTTTAACGCCCAGCTTTTATGACTTTTTATTCATGAATATTCATTTTAGTTGGGCTACCAATAAAAGTTAACATTTATCTGATCTGTTTGCCTGTATTACTGTCTGTAAGGCTGGAATGAATTCAGGCTACTCTTGTCTCAGCTTCATATTGATTGCTAACAAAATTCAAAGTGATTTAATTTACTTCTATCTTGAACTACTTCCAGGCCTTCCGAAATTAAAACTCCCTGACCTTTTGGTACCCTCAAATTTAGTTGCATACAGTGTACCATCATTTCCTATATAAGAAAGATCTAATTTGCTGTTATCATGTTTTCAAAAACAATATTATAATTTTTTTTGTATTACCAGGAAGCTCTACAGATTACTTGTCTAGAGAAAACAGCATTTCATTTGATTGTTAGTATGCTTTTGTTTTGTTTAATTCTGTTTCACAGTCAGTGCAGTCAAAAGCAAAGTTAGGAGTAATTGTTTGGCACAACAGTCTGAAATTCTACTCCTACATAAATTCTAAGGTAAATTCCCTTGAGTAGAATAAAAGTAGGGGCTCACTCCTTTTAGCTGGTGATCCAGCATTAGTCAGGGTGCATTTTGAGAGAAGGAAAAAAGGACAGAGATAGATACTGCTGCTGCTTTAAAAAAAAAAACCTTACAAATGTAAGAAATGAAGGCATCTCCTACAGCTGTTCTGTGAATGATGCTTCTCTTCTAAAAGCAGTTAGAGTTTAAATTAGAGTTTTAGGGAGAAGTTGTTTAACCCTTGAACTGCCATTGTTTCTTGCAAACCCAAATTTGTAAAACCAACTGGGAATAGTTAAGGTCAAAATCACAGGGCTGGCTCCTTTGCTGAGAGAGAAAGAAACAATTTGACTTCAGAGATCCTATAAGGAAAATGCTCCAAAAGGCAAATTCAAATACTGAAGGGGAGACATCTCAGATTATAAATACTCCATGACTCAGTGATTCATTGCAGCATGGAAAGGATTTCTCTTTACACAAGAGTACTGGGCTGGGGTCCACTTATTACAAAACACATGCTTGCTGGAACTTAAAAAACAGCTTCTATTTCATTCCTTTCAAGACAACACAGCCTCTAAAAGACTTACGTGAATTATCTGTATGTTAATACTGTTTTGCTGAATATTGCTGAGCTGAAGATGTTATGTGACTTTATAATGTTCAGACCTAAACTTAGTCAATAAGACATCAAAATACTTTGTCATGTTATTAAAAACATGCTTATTTGAAAGCACCCAAATAATCAGAGATAAAGGGCATCCATGTTCCTAAAACCTGTGTTTTTAAAAAATAGCAACTGGATTTAGGGTGGATTTAGGTTTCATAATCTTTTGTAAGCATTTTTGCTCTGCTTTGGAGAGAAGTTTTTTTGGAAGATCTTTAATAATATAAACATGGTGCCAATTTCTGCTTTCAAATATGTTGCAGTTGACATTTAGGAGGAAATATTTTGACTGTATCATGTATTAGACATCATAAAAGTGTCAGGAAGTTCTTTGGCAGGTGTAACACACTCTGATTTAACTGTCTGGACTGATATTTCTGTGTGCAGACCATCCAGTGGAGTAAATGAGACTTTAATCTCTGAAACTGAAAACAAAACCTGTGAACATTTCACCCCTGAGGGGCACGTGGAAAGTACCACCCTGAAGATTCGACCAGCCACAAAGAGCCAGTACAGGGAGTTCTACATCGCCCCGGTCAGGAGTGGAGCTGAGGACCGAGAAAGTGGCCCTAGTTTCTCTGGGAGCATAAAAGAAGAAATAGCCCTGAGCTGCCAAGTGGATCCCCGCATGCCTGACTCCCAAAGAGAACACTCACCAGAGGAGGATATCTTAAGGGAGAAGGCAGAAGTGGAACAGCTAGGCCCTGTGGTGGAGCTACAACTATCCCTTTCACAAGAGAGACACAAGGGCACTGGTGCCCCTGTAGTCGCTCTCCTGGGAGCTGAAAAATCTAAGTCTACCGACACAGATCCTAATTTACAACACGATGGTATTGTCCGAATAAATTCAGTCCCCACTGATAAGAAAGGGGACCCTTCTCTGAGATCCAGCAAGATAATCCAGATTTCCAGTGGCAAAGAGTTGAGAGTGATCCAGGCAAGCGAAGCAGGACACACCGGCCTGGCCCGAGTGGAAGTGATCCTCAACTGTTCTGACA